TTTACATTTTGTATGTCTTTCTGTATATTTAGCAATAGAACTTTTTCTCATATCTATCCTAAATCTCCCTAAATCGCCCTTTCTGCTAATAAAGTCTTTGATTTTTAACCTTTTTCCTAAAGTTCTACTAAATTATTGGTCACCTTTCTTCTATGGCAATATTTACACACTTGCAAAAAGCATTTTTTTCTTTGTCTCTGAGAAGCTACATGGTTAAATCGTGAGTAAACAAATTGCTCTCTGCACCCTGCTAAGACAAGTGCAGAACGCTGCTGCAAATCTTATTTTCCCTGTTCATCCTTTTGAATACGTTCTTCTTCCCTGTAAACCCTGCCACTGGCTCCTTGTTCCCAGGTCTGTCAGACGTACGTTGCTTGTCTCACTTTCAGTGCCCCCAGATCCTGCCTGTTGCTGATCTTTCTCCCTAATTAATCCAGCCTCCATCATTCCCCACCCCATTTTCTCCCTTGCTGCTTTAAACCATGCCATTTAATGTCAGGACCCCCAAGCAAGCATCTACAGAAGTGCTCCATCATCCTCCTTCAGATTCTTGTTCCCATTGTGCCTTTACCTGAAACTACCCACTTTCAGAGGTCTGTAACCTCCTCTGGTTAAACTGAGATGTTTCACTGCTTCATCAGCCTCTATTTTTTCTTCCTTCTTAGATTTAGATCATAGATGTTTGGGATAAGTATTCTGTTTTTGCTCTGACTTTATATAACACTTTAAAAAGTGCTGTTCCACCCGTGCCTCTGGCTTTTAAGGAACTGTGGGAAAAACAGAATAATTCAGAAGTGTAGGCAGAAGAATTAATTTAATTGAGTGGTAAAACCAATAAATACACTCCGCTTCTGGTGACTTTGAAGAGAATTTTTCCACTAAGGTTGTGTGAGCTAGAGTTTCCCAACAGGCTTGGCTTGCATTGGGTTTTGTTTCTGTGCTGCGTTAAGATGCAATTGCAAAGCACTGTCACTAGGAGAAAAGGGTACTAGGAATTTGAGCTCTGATGGGGGCACTTGTCCCTGAGAAAGCAAGCACATATACACCTAATCTTTAAAGGTCCAAAGACAATCAATAGCAAGGGATTGGATTAGCCTTTTATGACCTGAAGAAGGTTGTTCGGTGGAGTTACTCATCTGATGCAAGTTGCACACCTATTTTCGAACTTTACTGAATCGTGGCCTTAGTTAATACAAAAAATCTGACTGGTGCCAGAGGAGAAGCCAAATCCAATTCTTGCAAAATCCCTGGTGTTCTAAGGCCATTACACATCTCCTCTTAAAGATGAATTTTAAATTCTTTGCTCTGACTCTTGATGTTCAGAGGTGGCTTATATCAGCTCTCCAGTGACACAGAACTGATTACATTGAAAATCAAGTCTGCAAACTTCTCACTTTCTGCAGTGCTCCAGCCGGGCAGAAAATCAATGTACTTAGCAACGGCAGTGACACCCATTTGGATTAAGTAAGTATGCTCAAATCTACAAATGAAAAGTGGGTTTGATGCTAAAATTTTCACCTCAGCATGAACTAAGTGCGTGTGAAGGGATGGAGACTTATTAGAATTTGACAGAAATGAGTGGACAAAAAATCATTTTGCATTGTTTTTTTTCAGATTCTTTGTTTAGTTGCTTTCACAGTTTTGTTTTACATATCTTAGTAAATTATGTTTTTATTCCTTAATAATTCCTGTTCATCGCTTTCTATGGATAGCTTGTATTTAAAAATGAAAATAAAGTCGATAAAGCTGGCTTCATTGACTTATGAGTTAATGTATTTTCTGTCTGTAGAGGCAAATGTAGCACACCGTCTTAGTAGGTAGGGATCCGCTAACTAAGCACAAAGATATATGTATATAGCTAAATTTGTATCTTGAGATTAGGTGAAGTCATTTCTTTACTCAGATTTCAGCTCTGTCTCTTGTGCTTACTTTCTTATTGTTCAGATTAGTTGTTTATATTATTAAACATCATTAGTTTTTTTTTTTTTTTTTCTTCAAAGTTGTGGAGTATAAGTCATTTTTTTCCACTCAAGGGATGGCTGTTGCTTTCTAGGTAGACACCTTCGTTCAATAACGATGTCATCTACCAACACCAATCAGCGTTATGTCTTTTTATCATTATCCTGAGAAGTGAAGAATGATTGGCTTTTTGGTGGGAACATGGGTTTTTACTGTCTACAGCATTTCTCGGTCTCTTTAGGTGGAATCCTGAGAAACTCCTTTAACTTTTTATAGCAGTTGCTGGAGAATAGAAAGCATTTAGTCAGACAAACTAAAGGGTACAGACCTGTTTTCCTACCAGGACAAATCTGAAAGGATGCTAATATAGGTATCGTCATGAAGAGGCTTTCAGAATACTGTACAAAATGCTTATGACCATGGAGACTAAGTATCGTTTTTACAGTTGGAAAGTCTGAACCGAAGGGAATTTAAGACACAAAACCTGGAGTGCTTAAAGTTAGGGAATAAAATATGAATTCAGGAACCAATACAAAAGTATAGTTTTCAAAGTCACAGTGAGCACAGGAAACAAGGTAAGAAACAGAAACGACCTCGACAGTTTGAAAAATTCGTGTTAATTTTGAGCTCAAACTCCCAACATCAAAAACTCTCACTCCTGAGAGAAATTTGCAGAGAAAACATTTGTATTTCCACAAATACCTGCAGCCCATAAAGTTGCCAGGCAGTACGTTACCAACTTCAATGTTTCTTCAGTTTATCAGATGCCCTTGCATTGGGGCTATTATGAGCAAAACCAGCATAGGTGTCTTTGCACTTACGATAGATATCATGAAACAAATCTGCATGTCATTTTTCTGGTCAGCCATTGAACTCCTCTTTTATGAATTTTGACAGGCATGCTAGATCAAAATCAAAACTATAAAACTGAGTAATGTGATGACTAAGAACATTCTGCTTAAAAACCCTGATTAAACGGGCAGTTTTAATGGGTTTAAATGGGATGCTGAGTAGTGCATTTAATTTAGGGAACTCCACAACTTAGTTAATTCTCTTCCTCCTCCCCAGCAACAATAAAGAATTAAAGCTATTATATTCTGCTTTTTTTTTCCTTTTACTATAACAATCATGTCCTAGCACTGAATAAGATATTAAAGCTGAAGGAAAAAATAATTCAAACACTGCATTTGTAAAACTAGCCCTTTTCTCTGATTATGAATTGCAAATCAACAGATTGCAGCTCTTACATATTTCCCTGTTTATTCGAAATTCCTAACTTTTAGGAACCTATTTGAGCAGTTGCTCTTTCAGGATCTCTTTGTAAATGTTCTAGCAATGAGTGCTATGTAAAATGAGCTATTCAAGCCTTATGATTAAGTTGTCTCATCTCCATGAATGGGTGACTTAGTTTTCAAAAATAATATCTCCTTGCACCCCCGAGATGAATTTTCTGTCATGGTGAACTGTATTTTAGGAACTAAAACTAAGTACTCATATCCTTTCGTATAAAAGTGAAATTAGATTTCTCCAGTGTTGATAAAAAGTAAGCAAAAAAGATACACAGACAAATCAAGTTGAAATCTCATTGCTAATGCAGCACACTGATAGAAAATAGGTCTTTATTAGTTTGTATCCAGTCATGTGCACTGTACTGACATCTCAGGAAAGAGATCTACATTAGTGTGGGGAAATCAAGTTTACTGCTCCATATGCGGTACCTGTCAATAGAGCAAATAAACTCCATGTCAAGTCATATTGGAAGGATATGATGGAAAACATATGAGAAGAAAGTCAGTTGAATGTTTAAAATGTACACTTAGATGCTGGGATTCTTAGATTCAACTTCCAGCTCAGTCACAAATTTCTTCTGCGACCTTGTATAAAACTGGAGAAAGACTCAGCAATCTAAAGTGGGAGTTAGGTGGGATTTTGATATGTGCAAATCCATGCCTTTAGCTCTTAAAAACTTCTCCTGGTCTCTCTGGTGTGTGGAAGATATTGATGTTTTTAAGAGGGAAGGTTTCTTGATGCTTTGAGCTGTGCTCCAGCCTGTGAACAGCACTTTGCTTTGAAGCTTCAAAGCTCTCCCACTCACCACCAAACACCTGATCATTAAGTCTTCTCTTTTGCTTCCTTATTTTTCCAGTAGTTTAACGGCATTGCAAGAAGCTGAATAATGGGAAAGTGAGAAGGGACTAGGATGAAAAATTCCTTTCACATGGCGGTTTCTTTGCAATACCTTGCAATCATCTCAATGGTACAAGAGAACCTTTACATCTTGTCATAATACAAAGTAATTAATAGAAGTAACCAAAAAATGGAAAAAAAAACATGTCCTTTTGGAAAAAAAATATTTTTGCCACTCTTTTGGAAAAATGACAAAATGTTATGGCAGTTTTTGATGCAATCAGTATAATTTCATGAAAAATATCAGCTTAGTCAAAATGGCATTTCCTGAAATGACTCATATCAGAAAGAAAACTTAGTTAAGGAAATCTTTTAAACTAGCTAGCCTTCCATCTGAAATATAAAAATCTTCATCCTTTGACCATATGGACTTCTGATAACTTTTAGTATATTAATTCTCTCCTTGTTCCTGTGAAGTAAGGAATATTATTACCCTTATTTCAGAAAAGTAGCACTGAATCTTGGAGGACAAGATTTTAAACATTGTTTAGATGCCTAGGGAGGTAGATTAGCAGGAAGTTTTTGACATATAGAAATAAGTTAGGTACTGAGCAACTATCTATTTATTTCTTTAGAGGTCTAAATATTTCAAAATTGTGGCTGCTGTTATTTTTGAAAATTTTAATTTTAGTTAAGGTAACTTTTGCTTATGGGCAGTGCCAGACCACTGGACCTTGTTTGCTGAGGTCTGACTTCCTTCACTCTTTGGTTAATCTTTCTCTTGTGTGAAGAGCCAGCATTGCACCTCCAGCCTCTCTGAGTCCAACCCCCTTGCTATGCCACCAGGCCAGGCTGCTTTAGCTGTTTACACCAGAGTTTCAGTCGTATGGATTTATATATCAGGACTCACTTACTCGTGCAAGTCTTGTTGTATTTAGGATTCTCCTGAGGAAACCCTTCCAGTCGGCACTGGAACCTGTGCTGCCAAAATTCCTGAAACCATGGATTTCGGTGATTGGTTTCTGGCCGAAGCTGTAGGTAATAATCATCAAACCATTTCACATCAGGAGACTGGAGCTTGATCGTTATTCCACCGACAGCTTCACGCTGATACCCGTCTGTCACATCGTACCGGTCTGCCCAGCCATCACTGCAGGGATAAACAAAAGAGAGACAACATTAACCATTCAAAAGAACAGGAAAGGGAGATTTTTTGAAAATAGCATTAGGACTCTAACAGCACACATCCACACCTGTGAATCTGAGTGAAGTTTAGTAAAGCATTGGTAATACTTCTAGAAATTTTCAGTGTTTTCTGTTTTCTTACACTTGCTTGTAATTGGCACCTTCGGCACACATAATGTGTTCTTCGTCCTCCACTTCAGGTAACCACAACATTAACAAATCACGTATCCTGAAATTCACTGTGTATAGGCATATCACTGCATCACACTGAACCCCACTGAGCTCTGGAGAGAAAAACTTAGACTCAGTGTTTTCCTGACCCCATGGTGACATTACTCATGTCTGAAAGGAGGTAACCTTGAGAGCAGGCTCTCCGTGCTGGAGGAGGAGGGTGGCAGGGTCCTGCCATAGACTGTGTCTATACTGCATAATGGATCATGGCACAACGTGCTACAAGATGATTTGGAAGGGCTGACACTGCTCAAGCAGAGATACCAGCTTAGAGCTCAGATGCTGTGACTGTAGGGCCCTGTCTCTGAAGCAATAAATCCTCTCTGCAGATAGGACTGATGGAGCCGGGCAGAGCATCACACAGGAGTAGTTGCTTCTACTTCTTGGGTGCTGGTGGCTGGAGTATCGTGGACTTGTGTGATGTTGTTCTGCATGCAGGATTTTAATCTCCTTCTGCTAACCTCTCTGCTTGCAACTGTCTGATCAAAAATATCTAGCGGAAGAGGCTAAAACCTTAATGTCACAAACATCTCAGGATAATTCCCCTCCCGTTGGGCTGGTAATGGATTCCCTTGGACAAACTGACATTTAAAAAATTTCACTCAACTCTGCTAAATATATACATATCTTATTACAGCATTGCAGATTTCCGCTGTTTTGTCATGAAAAAGATATTCAAGTTCTTGTCAAACCCCAGATCTTACAGTTAGAATTCTAGAAGAATCTCAGACTTTCTTTCATTTCTTCTACCTTGCTTCCTTCTTTCCTTCCTTGCTTCCTTGTTTGCTTCCTTCCTTCCTTGCTTGCTTGCTTCCTTCCTTCTTTCAAAATATGTATATATATTTATAAAAAGCATTGACGTTAACAATTGTATAAAGCACCTTTAAAATCCTAAAGGCTGAATGATTAGAAAATAAAGAATAAGCTTATATTATATTATTTTAAAACTTCTTGAGTTTTTTAGAGCTAGCCCTAACTTTTCTGAGTTAGTCCTACTGTAACTGATGTAGACAACCTTTAGCTGTATTGTTCTGTTGCTCAATTTGGATTATTGACTGTCTGGTTTCAACTTTGCTCCCATATTTCAGAGCATGCAGGAAGTCTGTCCCTACCACATTCCCTGTTCTGTACTTGGGGACTCCATCGGCACTGCACGGCGCACAAGTCAGGACCTTAGACTATGACTCCTTTTGCACAAGACACCATTTTTATGAAGCCTGGAATCTGGCTGCATCGTATTAGCACATCTGCAATGCCAGTAAAAGCAACTTCCCCTGCAGCAAAAATAATATCCAGTATCTGGAATGAAAATGAAGGGACTATTAAACATGCTTCAGATTCTAAATGAAGTGCTTTACTCAGCACAAAAGAATAAAATGTACGTTCACGAGAGGAGAAAGTTGAGCAGTGATTTTCAGCACTTTGAAAATTTACCTCCACGCTTACATCCAATTAGGGATGAACATAGGTGTTAATGTTCCTAAAAGCACTCAGGAGAATCAATATTGGCAAACACTCCACCTTCTATCAGGACTGCTTACTGATCTAAGAGCTGGAACCACTTACAGGTTATTTTAATGATAAAAGCCACAGAAGTGTTTTTTAAATGTCGGAAGGGTTTAACCTTTCCTTTGAAATATTTACCTCAAACTTTGGCAAGTTTTTAAGTGTGTTTATCCTTCTTCATAAAATTTGATAAATTTTATGAATGTAGGGAGTAATAGGTTTTCTGTAGGTTTTAAAAAAAATAATAATAATAAATGGAGTTTGCCAGAATGAGATCTGTCCTGTGGATACCTGAACTTTATGAACTGTCTCATAAATAACTTCAGAATAAACTGTTTTTCTGTAATTAATTTCTTCATCATTTTTAAAGGAGTATTTCTGTAAATCTAACTCAGCAGAGTGCCATAAAATTTATAATATTGCTTTGTGAATGGTTATCCCTTCTAAGAAGATTTGCAATAATGACACTATTTTATAACTCTAGGTTATTAAAAGACAGTGAAATAACAGTTTCAAACTGCATATTCTTCTCCTCAACTTTTCCATGGAAGGACCTCTTAATTCAACAGAGCTGCTTTTCAAATAAGTATTTTAGCTTAGGTTTTGAGGCCAAAGGCTGGTAGGAGGCTAATGTGTAAGATTTCATCAAAGTCCAACACCTCAAATGGACAAGGTAGCAAAGCACATGCTCAGCTAATATCTAAAAGCCAGTGGAAATGAAGCAGGATAACAGCTTGCACAGAAATGCAAAAGCACCAGTAGCATGTGCTGTTTCCATTGTGCAGCTGCATTACAGTAACAATGCTAATATTCCTGATGTTAGTCTTGTCCCGTCCTCTGAACTCATTGAGGGGTGTGAAGCTGACTGAGAAAGGGACAGAGAGGGAGATATCTGCTTACTTTCACACAGACCCCATTCCCTCCTCAAACCTCCTTCTTCTAATGTAAAAATATATTTTACTGTAATAGCTAGTGATATCATTTTAGTCCACTAGAATTTTTATCAGGAGCCCTTCAAAATGGTATTGCCCATCACTAAAATCGACTGGTTCAACTGAAGAAAGGTATTTTGGCTCCAGAAGTGTAGGAAACAGCTCCAACAGAAGTCTAAAATCTCCCCTATAGCCCACAGCAGTGGTGAGGTGCATGTGCTACCACTGATGAATGAAAGGACTGCACTGGTGAAAGAGGTTTTTTTTTTTTTTTTTCCCTTATATTAGCAGTGGGGGGTGTAGGGTGCTCGGGTAAATAAGTGGTTGAGCACAGCTTCCTCACAAGTAGTAAAAAAAGTCCAGGTGAACTATGCTGCAGTAATGATTATGGAGAGTTTCAACAGATTAAAGAGAATATGGATGTCCTTGATAAGTAGCTACACAGGCTTGGTTTTTCTCCCTTGTATGGGCACAGTCCTCTCAATTTTATTCTGATTTATGGAGCTCTGGATGCTTTTCACTCACGACCTCTTGCAGAGAGGATTTGTGCTTGTAGTTAGAGTATCTGACTTTTCTTTGAGCACTCATCTCTCTTTTCCCTTCTTAGGACCCTAAATTAACTTTTTCTGAAGGCATCTAATAGTTTAATCATTTCTTTCAGCACAGCAGCAAATGTGCTAGTCATTCTGGTCCTAATGTATGTCCTTGGTATCATGGCAAACTGCAAAGACCAGCAGTCATCCTCGCATGTACTGTAGAAACATGTAAATTAAGGCTTGGGATCATCCTTTCATTTCTCCATATTTTTCTTTACAAGTAATACAGGACCATATCGAGAGAGCCAATTTATTTAAATGGGTTTTCCCATGCTGCATGCATACTGACTAACTGTATGTCATGATTACCGTAAGGTATATTTACACACAAACTTGAATTTAGAAGTTAGGTTAGATGCTCTCAGCTGCAGGGAAGTTTGCACAGGGCCATGTACCCCACTATCCAGATAGGAACAGCAGCTTGCGCTGCGTCTGTGTTTTTGCACGCTTGCTGTGTAAATATGCAAACTAGCTACTCAGTAAAACCTGAAAAATAGGGTTTGAAAAGATATAGAGAATAGATAGTCCATTTGCCAATCGTAAGGTAATTTTATGTATATCTTTATCACTCTAGATGGGATTTTGTTATTCTGTATATAAAAGTGTCTAACTCTTCAAACTTTTTGAGTAATCTATTACTGTACGTAACTATCTCTGTCAATAGAAAGCTCTCCTCTGTGTAACATAATGATTCTTACTGCAGCTTACAGCTATTACTTCTTGTTCTATTTATCGTGGAGATGAAGGACAGACTGAAAGTTACTTCAAATCTCTCTTCAGTGCCACAGTTAATGCAGTATAGAAATATCCTTAACCTCATAATTGCTACATATGTTTATAAATGCAGAAATTGTCTCCACAGCTAGCATAAGCATTTTATGTAATGAAGATATTGGGGAAGTGTAATAAGAAGAGAGAAAGAAATCTTTTCCAAAGCCTAACATATTCCTACAGGTCAGGAAAAAACGCATTTCCCTTGATTCAGTCCTAGCCCCTCCTCCATTACATCTCTGCTGGCTCTTTTCTCTGAGCATTACCTCCAACTGCAAAGGGAATACTCAAAAGAAGTATGAGAATGTTTCCCATATTCTTATCTGCCATTTGTTAGTTCTAACATTGCCTTAATTGGGACTGAGGCAACTCATTAGCTTTGGTGCTTCCATTTTTGCAGCCAGATACTCTAGTGATAAGATCTAGCTCTCCCTAAAGCTGGGAAACCTGCAATCAGAATTGAAGAATAAAGACATTCTCACCCACCAGGCTTTGAATTCTTTACTTCTGTGTTCCTCCTATGTGCAAGAAATACATGTTGTTTTTTAACCAATGGGCAAATGTCCTTAAAATGATCTCACTAGGACGTAAAGGTAAGATTGTACATGAAGAAACCTTACTGTGAAAGAAAGTAGCAGTTACACAGCTGCAGCAGCAAGAGAAAAAGTCTCACACTGAGATATCTATCAGGTGTACGCAGTGATGCATATATCTTATTCATCAGCTTGTCAGAGTAGAAAGTTGTCAATAAGGTAAGATGACTACGACATGTGCAGATTTGGCTGCTGCTAATATTACACTCACATTCAACACAGTGGGGAATTCTTTCTCAGGATCATGACTTGTTTTCCACGTGTCCAGTTGTTTTGTGTTTGTATTCTTGACTGTCACACTAATGTCTGTTGCATTTTTCTTAAAGACTTGCTGTG